AGCGGATAAAGCTCGTTCTAAAACGAGGGTGAACCTTGTGTTGTCTTTTACCCGTGGAAAAACGTGGACGTGGAGTTGGTCTGCTTCCTGTTGGACAGGGGGGTGACAAACACCGGCGGTTAGTTTGTGCTAGCATGCATCAGCTTGCAGTGTAGGTACAAGCAGTTAAAGGGATACTTCACCCATTTGCATTAAGCTTTGTATCATTAGAAACCTGGTAGTATTTTTGAATGATCGTGCATCCCGCCCTCATTTTCCCCTGAGATGGGAAATCTTTGTATTTCTGAGTCTGAAAAGGAGCTTCCAGTGACGCAAAATGACGATTTTTGCGTCACTGAAAGCTGTTGCGGTTAGCGGGGTGAAACTACAACGCCAGTTCCTCATATTTTCGACCACTGAAGCTACAGACCAATCACAGATCAGTGGGTGGGAACTCACTCCCAGAATCGAAAGTTAAAATCCGCCATATTGCTTGGAAGCTATGCTAACAGGCTCTATGATTATCTTGTGGTTTGGCTGCTGTGCCCACTGCCCGCTGGGGCCGCCGCTGACCGCTGCCGGCCGCTGGCGCTGCCGGCCGCTCGCCGGGACACAAGACCGGCCTGTCGGCAGCAACCGTCTCACGGCTATATTGCTGGCCTGCATGTCGGCGGCGGTAAGGACGAGGATCCCAGGCCGGCTCGAGCTGGGGCGGACTGGTAGTGTCAGTGCTCTCACTGTTTGCCTGTGGACACAGACATAGAGTCTGTTTTCTGACAGGAATTTCCAAGATACCACTTCCTTCTGGAAGAAATCTCTGAATCTGTTGAGGAAATGGCCTTATGTGTTGAAGTAAATATGTCTGTAAATGTTTTTATTACTATATTTCTACTGCTATATTGTACATTTTGGAGAAACTGTATCGATCGAATTTCCCTCTGGGATTAATAAAGTATTTCTGATTCTTAAAAAGAGGACCTTAGTGGGAATGGCCTGCGGTGCTGTGCATTCTGGGATTTGGTGTCTTTCATCCGCATGAGCCAAAAAGACACTTACTGCCTTTTCTCGGCCAAGAAGGCACGAACTTCAAAATCTATTTCACATTTCTACTACATATATGACCCAATGTCAATACAGATTAATGTTTATTAATGGTGAAGTATCCCTTTAATGTACACACTACGTCCTGCAGGGAGCGGGGCTTCTGGGGAGGATGAGCCCAGGAGGGCCCAGTTTGAATGTTGTGTTTAAATTTCTACTGACTCCTCCTTTAAGTCAGTGTTCGGGGGATGATAATAATCATTATTTTTATTTTGAGTCTAAAGTGGATGAGATGGTTTTCAGGCCAACACTTCACTCTGATTTGATCCTCTCATTCGCTTAATGGCTCTGAGCTTCACTCCTCACAGTAAAGAGATATTGTGCCAAATTAATCTCATTTTGGTCTCAATATTGGAAAGAAGTCAAACTGAGATGTGAATGAAATGATAAATGTCTTTCTGTATCAAGAGCTCTCTATTGGTGTAGAGCTTCTGTTATCTGTCATCCTTATAAAATGGTTTCATGTTTGTTTCTCAGTGTTTGTCGGGTGACCATATTTTCAAAACCTCCAAATCTGGACACTTTCATTTGACCTGTTTCAATCCACAGATTGACCTGCTGGTCACACGAGGTGGTTGGTTAGGGTTTCCTCCTGAGCAGCTCCTTTAAGATGTTTATCAGCAGCGTTTGCTTCACCGAAGTAGATTGTAACAGTTCCACTTCCTGTCGTACAGACATGTTTTTGCCTGCTTTAATATGACTTTGTACGTAAACATTTCCATCGTGGGCGACTGAAAAAGGACACCTGCAGTGTGTGCACAACGCTGCATATTCATTGGCTGCTACTTTTAACAGGAAGCTGTAACTCTCCTGGAGCTCTTTGGAAGACTCTGACTTCCTGTTCAGTCTGATAGCTCGCCTACCTGTCGTTACGCAGCAGGTCCTGTTCGCATGCTAACTTAATGTTGCACACTTGTACACAAAGAACCAAGCGTGCATGGGTTTTATGATTATTCTTTTACTTCGATCTGAAACACAGAGACACAAACACATCAACTCAGCGTGGCTGCAAACTCTCGGACATCTGGGTCGACTGAGCTACACATGGAATCAAAGACCTGCTAATCAAAGATGATGCTTATGACTCTCTCACACACTTATACAAATATTCTGTGCACCCACACACACACACACACACACACACACAGTAAATATTAAAGAAGGCTAACTGTGGATTTCACTTTTATCACTTTTGCTCACCTGAAACACAGAGACACAAACACATCAACTCAGCGTGGCTGCACACTCTCGGACATCTGGGTCGACTGAGCTACACATGGAATCAAAGACCTGCTAATCAAAGATGATGCTTATGACTCTCTCACACATTTATACAAATATTCTGTGCACCCACACACACACACACACACAATAAATATTAAAGAAGGCTAACTGTGGATTTCACTTTTATCACTTTTGCTCACCTGAAACACAGAGACACAAACACATCAACTCAGCGTGGCTGCACACTCTCGGACATCTGGGTCGACTGAGCTACGCATGGCATCAAAGACCCCTGTGCTGCCCAGAGCTCCCCCAAAAGTGCCTGTGTGATACTTCTTCAATTTGACCCACAAATGTACCAACTAAAATATCATGGTGCCTTTGTACAGGAATATCTAACAGTATGATTGAACAAGACAATAAAATAAAATATCAGAAACAATATATGGGGGGGGGGGGGGGGTGCCTAGTGTCCATGAACATGCCTGATATTAATACGGGCCCCACATTAGGCTAACTAAGTAACAGCCGTAACACTGAGATTGACTGACACATGAATAGACCAATCAGTGTTGACCTTAATCGTATGTAGTGCATTAGTGATGTTTCTCTATTGGTTAAAACAGCAGCAGCCTTGGCAACGACATTGATTGACATGTATACAAACAGATCGAAGCCCTTTCTGAATTGTCACTGTTCAGTATGCAGTACGTACTATTCAGTATGGAGTTTCAGTATACTGAACTTTCGTGGTCATTCAGTATGCATTGTTTGGGTCCACCGCCGTATACTGAACATTTCAGTATGGATACTAACTTCCGGGTTTTGTACAGTATGGATTGGATGCGTGCTTTCAGGAAATGAATTGTGTTTCGCTACTTTTAATTAACAACAGAAAATATAACAAATATCTGCATTATTATAAAACCTTTCCCCCTCTATTTAAATAATGATTTAACTATTTAAATGTGTCTTTATTGGTTTATTTTATATTCTGTATATTACTGTCTTTCATTTGTTCTTTCCTTTATGTACTGTATGTTATTTAGTTATTTAATCTGCCTTTACTTGATTGACATTGTGATATTGTTTTTTGTTTACCTGACTGTATATGCGCATTACTCTTCTTGAATAAGAAAAACGGGTGAATGCGGCCGGTTCGGGAAACGTAAATGACGTCACTTCCATACTGAATAAATCAGAAGAAGTAGGAACAAATATCTGCCTACTGTGCGCGCCTACTGAATAGTAGGTACTAACAGTATGCAGCACGAATAGTACGTACTGCATACTGAAAGATTGAGTAGGTACTTGGCAATTCGGATATGGCCCAGGTTTGCTAGCATGGTGTGATGTTTGGGTTGGTCAAAACCGGGACATGTTAGTGGTTTATAGATATTTGTGGGGACTCGGCACACAGAGCGGTCGAATCACGACGAATGTTCAGCCTAGTGATTCTGTCACTTTAATCATGTTAACGCTCGTCTCGTTTCTAATCCAGTGCTGATAAAGAACTTCACACATAACTCACAAAATACACCCAGACCAAGAGACGAAGAGACTGGAGATGTCACCTCAACCCACAGCATTAAATCACCAAAATAAATGTTCATTAGGGTCGACTGTTGGCAGCTGATTGGCTCAGGTCCACCAGCAGACAAACCAATCAGAGATGGAGAGAGAAATAACATCTCCAGCTACAGAGCTCCTGTTAGTAATCTGTGAAACACTGTTGACACTGGAGGAACTGCAGCTGTAAAGTTGGACATTTTAACATAGAGCTCTATGGGGACTGACTCACTGCAGGAGACAGACTCTAGTGGACACTGGAGGAACTGCAGCTGTAAAGTTGGACATTTTAACATGGGGCTCTATGGGGACTAACTCACTTTCCATTTCTGACAGACCTCATCCTGTAAAAGCCATCTTTTGTCAGCAGTGATCTTCCTCCTTGATCCCTCTCTGAATTTCTGGATCTGTCTCTCAGTTTGAGGACTGATGGCCCACCTCTGCAACAGCGCTCGCCTCTTGGCTCAGAGACCCTCTCGGGTTTCCCAGCATGCTTTTAGGCGTCATTAACATCAGAAGTATTGATCGTACTGCTCTGACCAACAGATGGATGCAGCCTTCAGGGAGAGGAGCGTTCAGACTGTCTGTCAGTCACCAGCTGGACCATCATTTACTGTACAATATAAAAACATGATGTGCTGTTAAACATTGATGTACCCTAGGAGATGGACTGATGCCGAGAAGACACATCGAGGGCCCATAAAACAGCACATGATTTAAACATCTTCAATGTGATTAGTTATGTTCTAATCAATGTTTATACTTTAATATTTATCTGTTGAAACATCATCAGCAAACGTCTTGTTTGATAATATCACACCATAATAAACAGAATGAGAGATACTTATTAAATGCTCGACAGAAATCCAACAATGCATAAAGAATGTTTAATTCATGAATTTATTTGTGTTGATCCTAATTTTAAAATTATGTCCAAATTTTTGAGTGTGGGATAAAACCGGAGCATCCCGGAGAAAAACCCACGCAGACACTTTGAGAACATATGAAGTCCTGACTGACAGATCCCTTTCAGCTTCTGTCAGTCAGGGTTTCACATGTCCCCCCTGAGTCTGCTTGTGTGTTACAGTCTGTGTGATTGTTTGGGACTAGAGGGGGGGGGATTGTCATTACTGGTCCAGCTTCTTCAGATGCTTTAATTCACGCCACCGGTCTGGAGTCATGAACTTCTTGAACTTCCTCCATGGAGAGATCTCCTCCGTGCTGCTAACCAGGCGGTTGTGCTCTGGAAGGGTGTCCCAGTGTGATTGCTGCCTGGTTTCCTCCAGCTCTTTCTGCAGGAGGTCAGCCCTCACTATTTGCCACTCCACTTCCGTCAGGAGCTCCTCCACCACCTTCTGCACAGCATAACTTTCTTCCTCCTGTGCTGACAGTTTTGAGGCCAGCTCTAGACAGCTGCTTGTCCTGTCTTGCAGCTGGATCTCTAAACTTTCCAGCTGCTCTTCAATCAGCATGGCCTCTGTCTTCATGGCCCCCATCCCCTGCTCCAGGGAGTCATTCTCTTCAGTCAGCCTCTCAATGAGCATCCAGTCCTTGTTGGTGCTCTCAAAATGCTGATTCCTGACCTCCTCCAGCTCTTTCTGGAGGTCGTCAGCCACCAACACTTTGACATCCATTTCTTGTTGGAGGTCCTCCACCTTCTTCTGCAGAGTCAGGTTAGCATCCTCCTGCAACATAAGTTTGTTGGACAGATCAAGACAGCTGTTGGTTTTGTCTTGCAGCTGGATCTTCAAAGACTCCAGCTGCTTTGAGTTTAGCATGTCCAGGCTGAAGATCTCTTCCTCTAAGGTCTTCATCGCCTGCTCCAGAGTCTTGTTCTCTGCAGTCAGGCTCTCAACTCTTTGTTGGTTCTTGTTGCTTGTTCTCAAAAGCTCATTCCTGACTTCCTCCAGCTCTTTCTGGAGGCCGTCAGCCCTTAACGTTTGGCGCTCCACTTCCTTTCGGAGCACCTCCATCTCCTTCTGCTCCTTCTCCTCAGCACCGTTCTTCGATGAATCTTTACTACTCTGGGATCTGTAGTTCACCATGACTGTTCTTAGTAAAATCAGTGTGTCTTTAACAATGTTGTATCTCAGACTGGTTCTGTGAGCTGTGGTTGTCTCAGACTGGTTCAGTGAGCTGTGGTTGCGTCAGACTGGTTCAGTGAGCTGTGGTTGCCTCAGACTGGTTCAGTGAGCTGTGGTTGTCTCAGACAGATTCAAAATGTCTTTGATGGTCCAGAGTTCTAGAATTCCTTTGATTCTGGTAATATTTGAACATTCTATTGACACTGCATCATTCAAACCACTTCCTGTTGTCAAAATGGCCACCCTAGAATGTTTTCAACATAACCCTACACTGATATACAGTATTAAAAGACTAACTCGTTTCGATTAATCCTGCCAATAGGCGGCAGTAGAAGCCAAACTACATGATGTAGCGCACATTATTATTTATTTTTTAAAACAAACATGATTGACTGAAAGATTGCGTGATAATTTGGGATGTTTGTGCACACCAGGAAGTCAGACTAGGTGGACTAGAGTAACGTATTATGCAAGTCACCCTAAAAGAAGTTAAAATACAGCAGACTGCATGTAAACAGAAGAGAATCTAGGTAGCTTCCCAGAGGAACACCAAAAGGTAAGTTGTATTTTCCTGATAAAGATTAGTCTATAGCCTCCTGACAAAACAACTTTCTTTTTGTAAGATTAAGAACAATTTAAAACACTTAGAGGTATTAAACAGTAAATCCAAATCGGCCCCGCTCTGCTTAAGGAAACCACCTAAACTAAACTTCATCTCATCACTTCATACATTTATCACTGAGTCATTTTATTAAGTGACAGATTCAATTCATTTACTGCCGCTGCACATGATGTGCTGTTAAACATTGATGTACCCTAGGAGATGGACTGATGCCGAGAAGACACATCGAGGGCCCATAAAACAGCACATTATTTAAACATCTTCAATGTGATTAGTTATGTTCTAATCAATGTTTATACTTTAATATTTATCTGTTGAAACATCATCAGCAAACGTCTTGTTTGATATTATCACACCATAATAAACAGAATGAGAGATACTTATTAAATGCTCGACAGAAATCCAACAATGCATAAAGAATGTTTAATTCATGAATTTATTTGTGTTGATCCTAATTTTAAAATTATGTCCAAATTTTTGAGTGTGGGATAAAACCGGAGCATCCCGGAGAAAAACCCACGCAGACACTTTGAGAACATATGAAGTCCTGACTGACAGATCCCTTTCAGCTTCTGTCAGTCAGGGTTTCACATGTCCCCCCTGAGTCTGCTTGTGTGTTACAGTCTGTGTGATTGTTTGGGACTAGGGGGGGGGGGGGATTGTCATTACTGGTCCAGCTTCTTCAGATGCTTTAATTCACGCCACCGGTCTGGAGTCATGAACTTCTTGAACTTCCTCCATGGAGAGATCTCCTCCGTGCTGCTAACCAGGCGGTTGTCCTCTGGAAGGGAGTCCCAGTGTGATTGCTGCCTGGTTTCCTCCAGCTCTTTCTGCAGGAGGTCAGCCCTCACTATTTGCCACTCCACTTCCGTCAGGAGCTCCTCCACCCCCTTCTGCACAGCATAACTTTCTTCCTCCTGTGCTGACAGTTTTGAGGCCAGCTCTAGACAGCTGCTTGTCCTGTCTTGCAGCTGGATCTCTAAACTTTCCAGCTGCTCTTCAATCAGCATGGCCTCTGTCTTCATGGCCCCCATCCCCTGCTCCAGGGAGTCATTCTCTTCAGTCAGCCTCTCAATGAGCATCCAGTCCTTGTTGGTGCTCTCAAAATGCTGATTCCTGACCTCCTCCAGCTCTTTCTGGAGGTCGTCAGCCACCAACACTTTGACATCCATTTCTTGTTGGAGGTCCTCCACCTTCTTCTGCAGAGTCAGGTTAGCATCCTCCTGCAACATAAGTTTGTTGGACAGATCAAGACAGCTGTTGGTTTTGTCTTGCAGCTGGATCTTCAAAGACTCCAGCTGCTTTGAGTTTAGCATGTCCAGGCTGAAGATCTCTTCCTCTAAGGTCTTCATCGCCTGCTCCAGGGAGTCATTCTCTTCAGTCAGCCTCTCAATGAGCATCCAGTCCTTGTTGGTGCTCTCAAAATGCTGATTCCTGACCTCCTCCAGCTCTTTCTGGAGGTCGTCAGCCACCAACACTTTGACATCCATTTCTTGTTGGAGGTCCTCCACCTTCTTCTGCAGAGTCAGGTTAGCATCCTCCTGCAACATAAGTTTGTTGGACAGATCAAGACAGCTGTTGGTTTTGTCTCGCAGCTGGATCTTCAAAGACTCCAGCTGCTTTGAGTTTTGCATGTCCAGGCTGAAGATCTCTTCCTCTAAGGTCTTCATCGCCTGCTCCAGGGAGTCATTCTCTTCAGTCAGCCTCTCAATGAGCATCCAGTCCTTGTTGGTGCTCTCAAAATGCTGATTCCTGACCTCCTCCAGCTCTTTCTGGAGGTCGTCAGCCACCAACACTTTGACATCCATTTCTTGTTGGAGGTCCTCCACCTTCTTCTGCAGAGTCAGGTTAGCATCCTCCTGCAACACAAGTTTGTTGGATAGATCAAGACAGCTGTTGGTTTTGTCTTGCAGCTGGATCTTCAAAGACTCCAGCTGCTTTGAGTTTAGCATGTCCAGGCTGAAGATCTCTTCCTCTAAGGTCTTCATCGCCTGCTCCAGAGTCTTGTTCTCTGTAGTCAGGCTCTCAACTCTTTGTTGGTTCTTGTTGCTTGTTCTCAAAAGCTCATTCCTGACTTCCTCCAGCTCTTTCTGGAGGCCGTCAGCCCTTAACGTTTGGCGCTCCACTTCCTTTCGGAGCACCTCCATCTCCTTCTGCTCCTTCTCCTCAGCACCGTTCTTCGATGAATCTTTACTACTCTGGGATCTGTAGTTCACCATGACTGTTCTTAGTAAAATCAGTGTGTCTTTAACAATGTTGTATCTCAGACTGGTTCTGTGAGCTGTGGTTGCGTCAGACTGGTTCAGTGAGCTGTGGTTGCCTCAGACTGGTTCAGTGAGCTGTGGTTGTCTCAGACAGATTCAAAATGTCTTTGATGGTCCAGAGTTCTGGAATTCCTTTGATTCTGGTAATATTTGAACATTCTATTGACACTGCATCATTCAAACCACTTCCTGTTCTCAAAATGGCCACCCTAGAATGTTTTCAACATAACCCTACACTGATATACAGTATTAAAAGACTAACTCGTTTCGATTAATCCTGCCAATAGGCGGCAGTAGAAGCCAAACTACATGATGTAGCGCACATTATTATTTATTTTTTAAAACAAACATGATTGACTGAAAGATTGCGTGATAATTTGGGATGTTTGTGCACACCAGGAAGTCAGACTAGGTGGACTAGAGTAACGTATTATGCAAGTCACCCTAAAAGAAGTTAAAATACAGCAGACTGCATGTAAACAGAAGAGAATCTAGGTAGCTTCCCAGAGGAACACCAAAAAGTAACTTGTATTTTCCTGATAAAGATTAGTCTATAGCCTCCTGACAAAACAACTTTCTTTTTGTAAGATTAAGAACAATTTAAAACACTTAGAGGTATTAAACAGTAAATCCAAATCGGCCCCGCTCTGCTTAAGGAAACCACCTAAACTAAACTTCATCTCATCACTTCATACATTTATCACTGAGTCATTTTATTAAGTGACAGATTCAATTCATTTACTGCCGCTGCACATGATGTGCTGTTAAACATTGATGTACCCTAGGAGATGGACTGATGCCGAGAAGACACATCGAGGGCCCATAAAACAGCACATGATTTAAACATCTTCAATGTGATTAGTTATGTTCTAATCAATGTTTATACTTTAATATTTATCTGTTGAAACATCATCAGCAAACGTCTTGTTTGATATTATCACACCATAATAAACAGAATGAGAGATACTTATTAAATGCTCGACAGAAATCCAACAATGCATAAAGAATGTTTAATTCATGAATTTATTTGTGTTGATCCTAATTTTAAAATTATGTCCAAATTTTTGAGTGTGGGATAAAACCGGAGCATCCCGGAGAAAAACCCACGCAGACACTTTGAGAACATATGAAGTCCTGACTGACAGATCCCTTTCAGCTTCTGTCAGTCAGGGTTTCACATGTCCCCCTGAGTCTGCTTGTGTGTTACAGTCTGTGTGATTGTTTGGGACTAGGGGGGGGGGGGGATTGTCATTACTGGTCCAGCTTCTTCAGATGCTTTAATTCACGCCACCGGTCTGGAGTCATGAACTTCTTGAACTTCCTCCATGGAGAGATCTCCTCCGTGCTGCTAACCAGGCGGTTGTCCTCTGGAAGGGAGTCCCAGTGTGATTGCTGCCTGGTTTCCTCCAGCTCTTTCTGCAGGAGGTCAGCCCTCACTATTTGCCACTCCACTTCCGTCAGGAGCTCCTCCACCCCTTCTGCACAGCATAACTTTCTTCCTCCTGTGCTGACAGTTTTGAGGCCAGCTCTAGACAGCTGCTTGTCCTGTCTTGCAGCTGGATCTCTAAACTTTCCAGCTGCTCTTCAATCAGCATGGCCTCTGTCTTCATGGCCCCCATCCCCTGCTCCAGGGAGTCATTCTCTTCAGTCAGCCTCTCAATGAGCATCCAGTCCTTGTTGGTGCTCTCAAAATGCTGATTCCTGACCTCCTCCAGCTCTTTCTGGAGGTCGTCAGCCACCAACACTTTGACATCCATTTCTTGTTGGAGGTCCTCCACCTTCTTCTGCAGAGTCAGGTTAGCATCCTCCTGCAACATAAGTTTGTTGGACAGATCAAGACAGCTGTTGGTTTTGTCTTGCAGCTGGATCTTCAAAGACTCCAGCTGCTTTGAGTTTAGCATGTCCAGGCTGAAGATCTCTTCCTCTAAGGTCTTCATCGCCTGCTCCAGGGAGTCATTCTCTTCAGTCAGCCTCTCAATGAGCATCCAGTCCTTGTTGGTGCTCTCAAAATGCTGATTCCTGACCTCCTCCAGCTCTTTCTGGAGGTCGTCAGCCACCAACACTTTGACATCCATTTCTTGTTGGAGGTCCTCCACCTTCTTCTGCAGAGTCAGGTTAGCATCCTCCTGCAACACAAGTTTGTTGGATAGATCAAGACAGCTGTTGGTTTTGTCTTGCAGCTGGATCTTCAAAGACTCCAGCTGCTTTGAGTTTAGCATGTCCAGGCTGAAGATCTCTTCCTCTAAGGTCTTCATCGCCTGCTCCAGAGTCTTGTTCTCTGCAGTCAGGCTCTCAACTCTTTGTTGGTTCTTGTTGCTTGTTCTCAAAAGCTCATTCCTGACTTCCTCCAGCTCTTTCTGGAGGCCGTCAGCCCTTAACGTTTGGCGCTCCACTTCCTTTCGGAGCACCTCCATCTCCTTCTGCTCCTTCTCCTCAGCACCGTTCTTCGATGAATCTTTACTACTCTGGGATCTGTAGTTCACCATGACTGTTCTTAGTAAAATCAGTGTGTCTTTAACAATGTTGTATCTCAGACTGGTTCTGTGAGCTGTGGTTGTCTCAGACTGGTTCAGTGAGCTGTGGTTGCCTCAGACTGGTTCAGTGAGCTGTGGTTGCCTCAGACTGGTTCAGTGAGCTGTGGTTGTCTCAGACAGATTCAAAATGTCTTTGATGGTCCAGAGTTCTGGAATTCCTTTGATTCTGGTAATATTTGAACATTCTATTGACACTGCATCATTCAAACCACTTCCTGTTCTCAAAATGGCCACCCTAGAATGTTTTCAACATAACCCTACACTGATATACAGTATTAAAAGACTAACTCGTTTCGATTAATCCTGCCAATAGGCGGCAGTAGAAGCCAAACTACATGATGTAGCGCACATTATTATTTATTTTTTAAAACAAACATGATTGACTGAAAGATTGCGTGATAATTTGGGATGTTTGTGCACACCAGGAAGTCAGACTAGTTGGACTAGAGTAACGTATTATGCAAGTCACCCTAAAAGAAGTTAAAATACAGCAGACTGCATGTAAACAGAAGAGAATCTAGGTAGCTTCCCAGAGGAACACCAAAAGGTAACTTGTATTTTCCTGATAAAGATTAGTCTATAGCCTCCTGACAAAACAACTTTCTTTTTGTAAGATTAAGAACAATTTAAAACACTTAGAGGTATTAAACAGTAAATCCAAATCGGCCCCGCTCTGCTTAAGGAAACCACCTAAACTAAACTTCATCTCATCACTTCATACATTTATCACTGAGTCATTTTATTAAGTGACAGATTCAATTCATTTACTGCCGCTGCACATGATGTGCTGTTAAACATTGATGTACCCTAGGAGATGGACTGATGCCGAGAAGACACATCGAGGGCCCATAAAACAGCACATGATTTAAACATCTTCAATGTGATTAGTTATGTTCTAATCAATGTTTATACTTTAATATTTATCTGTTGAAACATCATCAGCAAACGTCTTGTTTGATATTATCACACCATAATAAACAGAATGAGAGATACTTATTAAATGCTCGACAGAAATCCAACAATGCATAAAGAATGTTTAATTCATGAATTTATTTGTGTTGATCCTAATTTTAAAATTATGTCCAAATTTTTGAGTGTGGGATAAAACCGGAGCATCCTGGAGAAAAACCCACGCAGACACTTTGAGAACATATGAAGTCCTGACTGACAGATCCCTTTCAGCTTCTGTCAGTCAGGGTTTCACATGTCCCCCCTGAGTCTGCTTGTGTGTTACAGTCTGTGTGATTGTTTGGGACTAGAGGGGGGGGGGATTGTCATTACTGGTCCAGCTTCTTCAGATGCTTTAATTCACGCCACCAGTCTGGAGTCATGAACTTCTTGAACTTCCTCCATGGAGAGATCTCCTCCGTGCTGCTAACCAGGCGGTTGTCCTCTGGAAGGGAGTCCCAGTGTGATTGCTGTCTGGTTTCCTCCAGCTCTTTCTGCAGGAGGTCAGCCCTCACTATTTGCCACTCCACTTCCGTCAGGAGCTCCTCCACCACCTTCTGCACAGCATAACTTTCTTCCTCCTGTGCTGACAGTTTTGAGGCCAGCTCTAGACAGCTGCTTGTCCTGTCTTGCAGCTGGATCTCTAAACTTTCCAGCTGCTCTTCAATCAGCATGGCCTCTGTCTTCATGGCCCCCATCCCCTGCTCCAGGGAGTCATTCTCTTCAGTCAGCCTCTCAATGAGCATCCAGTCCTTGTTGGTGCTCTCAAAATGCTGATTCCTGACCTCCTCCAGCTCTTTCTGGAGGTCGTCAGCCACCAACACTTTGACATCCATTTCTTGTTGGAGGTCCTCCACCTTCTTCTGCAGAGTCAGGTTAGCATCCTCCTGCAACATAAGTTTGTTGGACAGATCAAGACAGCTGTTGGTTTTGTCTTGCAGCTGGATCTTCAAAGACTCCAGCTGCTTTGAGTTTAGCATGTCCAGGCTGAAGATCTCTTCCTCTAAGGTCTTCATCGCCTGCTCCAGAGTCTTGTTCTCTGCAGTCAGGCTCTCAACTCTTTGTTGGTTCTTGTTGCTTGTTCTCAAAAGCTCATTCCTGACTTCCTCCAGCTCTTTCTGGAGGCCGTCAGCCCTTAACGTTTGGCGCTCCACTTCCTTTCGGAGCACCTCCATCTCCTTCTGCTCCTTCTCCTCAGCACCGTTCTTCGATGAATCTTTACTACTCTGGGATCTGTAGTTCACCATGACTGTTCTTAGTAAAATCAGTGTGTCTTTAACAATGTTGTATCTCAGACTGGTTCTGTGAGCTGTGGTTGTCTCAGACTGGTTCAGTGAGCTGTGGTTGCGTCAGACTGGTTCAGTGAGCTGTGGTTGCCTCAGACTGGTTCAGTGAGCTGTGGTTGCCTCAGACTGGTTCAGTGAGCTGTGGTTGCCTCAGACTGGTTCAGTGAGCTGTGGTTGTCTCAGACAGATTCAAAATGTCTTTGATGGTCCAGAGTTCTGGAATTCCTTTGATTCTGGTAATATTTTAACATTCTATTGACACTGCATCATTCAAACCACTTCCTGTTCTCAAAATGGCCACCCTAGAATGTTTTCAACATAACCCTACACTGATATACAGTATTAAAAGACTAACTCGTTTCGATTAATCCTGCCAATAGGCGGCAGTAGAAGCCAAACTACATGATGTAGCGCACATTATTATTTATTTTTTAAAACAAACATGATTGACTGAAAGATTGCGTGATAATTTGGGATGTTTGTGCACACCAGGAAGTCAGACTAGGTGGACTAGAGTAACGTATTATGCAAGTCACCCAAAAAGAAGTTAAAATACAGCAGACTGCATGTAAACAGAAGCGAATCTAGGTAGCTTCCCAGAGGAACACCAAAAGGTAAGTTGTATTTTCCTGATAAAGATTAGTCTATAGCCTCCTGACAAAACAACTTTCTTTTTGTAAGATTAAGAACAATTTAAAACACTTAGAGGTATTAAACAGTAAATCCAAATCGGCCCCGCTCTGCTTAAGGAAACCACCTAAACTAAACTTCATCTCATCACTTCATACATTTATCACTGAGTCATTTTATTAAGTGACAGATTCAATTCATTTACTGCCGCTGCACATGATGTGCTGTTAAACATTGATGTACCCTAGGAGATGGACTGATGCCGAGAAGACACATCGAGGGCCCATAAAACAGCACATTATTTAAACATCTTCAATGTGATTAGTTATGTTCTAATCAATGTTTATACTTTAATATTTATCTGTTGAAACATCATCAGCAAACGTCTTGTTTGATATTATCACACCATAATAAACAGAATGAGAGATACTTATTAAATGCTCGACAGAAATCCAACAATGCATAAAGAATGTTTAATTCATGAATTTATTTGTGTTGATCCTAATTTTAAAATTATGTCCAAATTTTTGAGTGTGGGATAAAACCGGAGCATCCCGGAGAAAAACCCACGCAGACACTTTGAGAACATATGAAGTCCTGACTGACAGATCCCTTTCAGCTTCTGTCAGTCAGGGTTTCACATGTCCCCCTGAGTCTGCTTGTGTGTTACAGTCTGTGTGATTGTTTGGGACTAGGGGGGGGGGGGGATTGTCATTACTGGTCCAGCTTCTTCAGATGCTTTAATTCACGCCACCGGTCTGGAGTCATGAACTTCTTGAACTTCCTCCATGGAGAGATCTCCTCCGTGCTGCTAACCAGGCGGTTGTCCTCTGGAAGGGAGTCCCAGTGTGATTGCTGCCTGGTTTCCTCCAGCTCTTTCTGCAGGAGGTCAGCCCTCACTATTTGCCACTCCACTTCCGTCAGGAGCTCCTCCACCCCCTTCTGCACAGCATAACTTTCTTCCTCCTGTGCTGACAGTTTTGAGGCCAGCTCTAGACAGCTGCTTGTCCTGTCTTGCAGCTGGATCTCTAAACTTTCCAGCTGCTCTTCAATCAGCATGGCCTCTGTCTTCATGGCCCCCATCCCCTGCTCCAGGGAGTCATTCTCTTCAGTCAGCCTCTCAATGAGCATCCAGTCCTTGTTGGTGCTCTCAAAATGCTGATTCCTGACCTCCTCCAGCTCTTTCTGGAGGTCGTCAGCCACCAACACTTTGACATCCATTTCTTGTTGGAGGTCCTCCACCTTCTTCTGCAGAGTCAGGTTAGCATCCTCCTGCAACATAAGTTTGTTGGACAGATCAAGACAGCTGTTGGTTTTGTCTTGCAGCTGGATCTTCAAAGACTCCAGCTGCTTTGAGTTTAGCATGTCCAGGCTGAAGATCTCTTCCTCTAAGGTCTTCATCGCCTGCTCCAGGGAGTCATTCTCTTCAGTCAGCCTCTCAATGAGCATCCAGTCCTTGTTGGTGCTCTCAAAATGCTGATTCCTGACCTCCTCCAGCTCTTTCTGGAGGTCGTCAGCCACCAACACTTTGACATCCATTTCTTGTTGGAGGTCCTCCACCTTCTTCTGCAGAGTCAGGTTAGCATCCTCCTGCAACATAAGTTTGTTGGACAGATCAAGACAGCTGTTGGTTTTGTCTCGCAGCTGGATCTTCAAAGACTCCAGCTGCTTTGAGTTTTGCATGTCCAGGCTGAAGATCTCTTCCTCTAAGGTCTTCATCGCTTGCTCCAGGGAGTCATTCTCTTCAGTCAGCCTCTCAATGAGCATCCAGTCCTTGTTGGTGCTCTCAAAATGCTGATTCCTGACCTCCTCCAGCTCTTTCTGGAGGTCGTCAGCCACCAACACTTTGACATCCATTTCTTGTCGGAGGTCCTCCACCTTCTTCTGCAGAGTCAGGTTAGCATCCTCCTGCAACACAAGTTTGTTGGATAGATCAAGACAGCTGTTGGTTTTGTCTTGCAGCTGGATCTTCAAAGACTCCAGCTGCTTTGAGTTTAGCATGTCCAGGCTGAAGATCTCTTCCTCTAAGGTCTTCATCGCCTGCTCCAGAGTCTTGTTCTCTGTAGTCAGGCTCTCAACTCTTTGTTGGTTCTTGTTGCTTGTTCTCAAAAGCTCATTCCTGACTTCCTCCAGCTCTTTCTGGAGGCCGTCAGCCCTTAACGTTTGGCGCTCCACTTCCTTTCGGAGCACCTCCATCTCCTTCTGCTCCTTCTCCTCAGCACCGTTCTTCGATGAATCTTTACTACTCTGGGATCTGTAGTTCACCATGACTGTTCTTAGTAAAATCAGTGTGTCTTTAACAATGTTGTATCTCAGACTGGTTCTGTGAGCTGTGGTTGCGTCAGACTGGTTCAGTGAGCTGTGGTTGCCTCAGACTGGTTCAGTGAGCTGTGGTTGTCTCAGACAGATTCAAAATGTCTTTGATGGTCCAGAGTTCTGGAATACCTTTGATTCTGGTAATATTTGAACATTCTATTGACACTGCATCATTCAAACCACTTCCTGTTCTCAAAATGGCCACCCTAGAATGTTTTCAACATAACCCTACACTGATATACAGTATTAAAAGACTAACTCGTTTCGATTAATCCTGCCAATAGGCGGCAGTAGAAGCCAAACTACATGATGTAGCGCACATTATTATTTATTTTTTAAAACAAACATGATTGACTGAAAGATTGCGTGATAATTTGGGATGTTTGTGCACACCAGGAAGTCAGACTAGGTGGACTAGAGTAACGTATTATGCAAGTCACCCAAAAAGAAGTTAAAATACAGCAGACTGCATGTAAACAGAAGCGAATCTAGGTAGCTTCCCAGAGGAACACCAAAAGGTAAGTTGTATTTTCCTGATAAAGATTAGTCTATAGCCTCCTGACAAAACAACTTTCTTTTTGTAAGATTAAGAACAATTTAAAACACTTAGAGGTATTAAACAGTAAATCCAAATCGGCCCCGCTCTGCTTAAGGAAACCACCTAAACTAAACTTCATCTCATCACTTCATACATTTATCACTGAGTCATTTTATTAAGTGACAGATTCAATTCATTTACTGCCGCTGCACATGATGTGCTGTTAAACATTGATGTACCCTAGGAGATGGACTGATGCCGAGAAGACACATCGAGGGCCCATAAAACAGCACATGATTTAAACATCTTCAATGTGATTAGTTATGTTCTAATCAATGTTTATACTTTAATATTTATCTGTTGAAACATCATCAGCAAACGTCTTGTTTGATATTATCACACCATAATAAACAGAATGAGAGATACTTATTAAATGCTCGACAGAAATCCAACAATGCATAAAGAATGTTTAATTCATGAATTTATTTGTGTTGATCCTAATTTTAAAATTATGTCCAAATTTTTGAGTGTGGGATAAAACCGGAGCATCCCGGAGAAAAACCCACGCAGACACTTTGAGAACATATGAAGTCCTGACTGACAGATCCCTTTCAGCTTCTGTCAGTCAGGGTTTCACATGTCCCCCTGAGTCTGCTTGTGTGTTACAGTCTGTGTGATTGTTTGGGACTAGGGGGGGGGGGGGATTGTCATTACTGGTCCAGCTTCTTCAGATGCTTTAATTCACGCCACCGTCTGGAGTCATGAACTTCTTGAACTTCCTCCATGGAGAGATCTCCTCCGTGCTGCTAACCAGGCGGTTGTCCTCTGGAAGGGAGTCCAGTGTGATTGCTGCCTGGTTTCCTCCAGCTCTTTCTGCAGGAGGTCAGCCCTCACTATTTGCCACTCTACTTCCGTCAGGAGCTCCTCCACCCCTTCTGCACAGCATAACTTTCTTCCTCCTGTGCTGACAGTTTTGAGGCCAGCTCTAGACAGCTGCTTGTCCTGTCTTGCAGCTGGATCTCTAAACTTTCCAGCTGCTCTTCAATCAGCATGGCCTCTGTCTTCATGGCCCCATCCCTGCTCCAGGGAGTCATTCTCTTCAGTCAGCCTCTCAATGAGCATCCAGTCCTTGTTGGTGCTCTCAAAATGCTGATTCCTGACCTCCTCCAGCTCTTTCTGGAGGTCGTCAGCCACCAACACTTTGACATCCATTTCTTGTTGGAGGTCCTCCACCTTCTTCTGCAGAGTCAGGTTAGCATCCTCCTGCAACATAAGTTTGTTGGACAGATCAAGACAGCTGTTGGTTTTGTCTCGCAGCTGGATCTTCAAAGACTCCAGCTGCTTTGAGTTTTGCATGTCCAGGCTGAAGATCTCTTCCTCTAAGGTCTTCATCGCCTGCTCCAGAGTCTTGTTCTCTGTAGTCAGGCTCTCAACTCTTTGTTGGTTCTTGTTGCTTGTTCTCAAAAGCTCATTCCTGACTTCCTCCAGCTCTTTCTGGAGGCCGTCAGCCCTTAACGTTTGGCGCTCCACTTCCTTTCGGAGCACCTCCATCTCCTTCTGCTCCTTCTCCTCAGCACCGTTCTTCGATGAATCTTTACTACTCTGGGATCTGTAGTTCACCATGACTGTTCTTAGTAAAATCAGTGTGTCTTTAACAATGTTGTATCTCAGACTGGTTCTGTGAGCTGTGGTTGTCTCAGACTGGTTCAGTGAGCTGTGGTTGCGTCAGACTGGTTCAGTGAGCTGTGGTTGCCTCAGACTGGTTCAGTGAGCTGTGGTTGCCTCAGACTGGTTCAGTGAGCTGTGGTTGCCTCAGACTGGTTCAGTGAGCTGTGGTTGTCTCAGACAGATTCAAAATGTCTTTGATGGTCCAGAGTTCTGGAATTCCTTTGATTCTGGTAATATTTTAACATTCTATTGACACTGCATCATTCAAACCACTTCCTGTTCTCAAAATGGCCACCCTAGAATGTTTTCAACATAACCCTACACTGATATACAGTATTAAAAGACTAACTCGTTTCGATTAATCCTGCCAATAGGCGGCAGTAGAAGCCAAACTACATGATGTAGCGCACTTATTATTTATTTTTTAAAACAAACATGATTGACTGAAAGATTGCGTGATAATTTGGGATGTTTGTGCACACCAGGAAGTCAGGGATGTTTGTGCACACCAGGAAGTCAGACTAGGTGGACTAGAGTAACGTATTATGCAAGTCACCCAAAAAGAAGTTAAAATACAGCAGACTGCATGTAAACAGAAGCGAATCTAGGTAGCTTCCCAGAGGAACACCAAAAGGTAAGTTGTATTTTCCTGATAAAGATTAGTCTATAGCCTCCTGACAAAACAACTTTCTTTTTGTAAGATTAAGAACAATTTAAAACACTTAGAGGTATTAAACAGTAAATCCAAATCGGCCCCGCTCTGCTTAAGGAAACCACCTAAACTAAACTTCATCTCATCACTTCATACATTTATCACTGAGTCATTTTATTAAGTGACAGATTCAATTCATTTACTGCCGCTGCACATGATGTGCTGTTAAACATTGATGTACCCTAGGAGATGGACTGATGCCGAGAAGACACATCGAGGGCCCATAAAACAGCACATTATTTAAACATCTTCAATGTGATTAGTTATGTTCTAATCAATGTTTATACTTTAATATTTATCTGTTGAAACATCATCAGCAAACGTCTTGTTTGATATTATCACACCATAATAAACAGAATGAGAGATACTTATTAAATGCTCGAAACATTGATGTACCTAGGAGATGGACTGATGCGAGAAGACATCGAGGGCCCATAAAACAGCACATTATTTAAACATCTTCAATGTGATTAGTTATGTTCTAATCAATGTTTATACTTTAATATTTATTGTTGAAACATCATCAGCAAACGTCTTGTTTGATATTAATACACCATAATAAACAGAATGAGATACTTATTAAATGCTCGACAGAAATCAACAATGCATAAAGAATGTTAATTCATGAATTTATTTGTGTTGATCTAATTTTAAAATTATGTCAAATTTTTGAGTGTGGGATAAAACGGAGCATCCGGAGAAAAACCACGCAGACACTTTGAGAACATATGAAGTCTGACTGACAGATCTTTCAGCTTCTGTCAGTCAGGGTTCACATGTCCCTGAGTTCATGAACTTCTTGAACTTCCTCCATGGAGAGATCTCCTCCGTGTGCTAACCAGGCGGTTGTCCTCTGGAAGGAGTCCCAGATGATTGCTGCCTGTTTCCTCAGTCTTTCTGCAGAGTCAGCCCTCACTATTTGCCACTCCACTTCCGTCAGGAGCTCCTCACCCCCTTCTCACAGCATAACTTCTTCCTCCTGTGCTGACAGTTTTGAGGCCAGCTCTAGACAGCTGCTGCCTGTCTTGCAGCTGGATCTCTAAACTTTCCAGCTGCTCTTCAATCAGCATGCCCTGTCTTCATGGCCCCCATCCCTGCTCAGGGATCATTCTCTTCAGTCAGCCTCTCAATGAGCATCCATCCTTGTTGGTGCTCTCAAAATGCTGATTCCTGACCTCCTCCAGCTCTTTCTGGAGGTCGTCAGCCACCAACACTTTGACATCCATTTCTTGTGGAGGTCCTCCACCTTCTTCTGCAGAGTCAGGTTAGCATCCTCCTGCAACATAAGTTTGTTGGACAGATCAAGACAGCTGTTGGTTTTGTCTTGCAGCTGGATCTTCAAAGACTCCAGCTGCTTTGAGTTTAGCATGTCCAGGCTGAAGATCTCTTCTCTAAGGTCTTCATCGCCTGCTCCAGGGAGTCATTCTCTTCAGTCAGCCTCTCAATGAGCATCCAGTCCTTGTTGGTGCTCTCAAAATGCTGATTCCTGACCTCCTCCAGCTCTTTCTGGAGGTCGTCAGCCACCAACACTTTGACATCCATTTCTTGTCGGAGGTCCTCCACCTTCTTCTGCAGAGTCAGGTTAGCATCCTCCTGCAACACAAGTTTGTTGGATAGATCAAGACAGCTGTTGGTTTTGTCTTGCAGCTGGATCTTCAAAGACTCCAGCTGCTTTGAGTTTAGCATGTCCAGGCTGAAGATCTCTTCCTCTAAGGTCTTCATCGCCTGCTCCAGAGTCTTGTTCTCTGTAGTCAGGCTCTCAACTCTTTGTTGGTTCTTGTTGCTTGTTCTCAAAAGCTCATTCCTGACTTCCTCCAGCTCTTTCTGGAGGCCGTCAGCCCTTAACGTTTGGCGCTCCACTTCCTTTCGGAGCACCTCCATCTCCTTCTGCTCCTTCTCCTCAGCACCGTTCTTCGATGAATCTTTACTACTCTGGGATCTGTAGTTCACCATGACTGTTCTTAGTAAAATCAGTGTGTCTTTAACAATGTTGTATCTCAGACTGGTTCTGTGAGCTGTGGTTGCGTCAGACTGGTTCAGTGAGCTGTGGTTGCCTCAGACTGGTTCAGTGAGCTGTGGTGTCTCAGACAGATTCAAAATGTCTTTGATGGTCCAGAGTTCTGGAATTCCTTTGATTCTGGTAATATTTGAACATTCTATTGACACTGCATCATTCAAACCACTTCCTGTTCTCAAAATGGCCACCCTAGAATGTTTTCAACATAACCCTACACTGATATACAGTATTAAAAGACTAACTCGTTTCGATTAATCCTGCCAATAGGCGGCAGTAGAAGCAAACTACATGATGTAGCGCACATTATTATTTATTTTTTAAAACAAACATGATTGACTGAAAGATTGCGTGATAATTTGGGATGTTTGTGCACACCAGGAAGTCAGACTAGGTGGACTAGAGTAACGTATTATGCAAGTCACCCTAAAAGAAGTTAAAATACAGCAGACTGCATGTAACAGAGAAGAATCTAGGTAGCTTCCCAGAGGAACACCAAAAGGTAACTTGTATTTTCCTGATAAAGATTAGTCTATAGCCTCCTGACAAAACAACTTTCTTTTTGTAAGATTAAGAACAATTTAAAACACTTAGAGGTATTAAACAGTAAATCCAAATCGGCCCCGCTCTGCTTAAGGAAACCACCTAAACTAAACTTCATCTCATCACTTCATACATTTATCACTGAGTCATTTTATTAAGTGACAGATTCAATTCATTTACTGCCGCTGCACATGATGTGCTGTTAAACATTGATGTACCCTAGGAGATGGACTGATGCCGAGAAGACACATCGAGGGCCCATAAAACAGCACATGATTTAAACATCTTCAATGTGATTAGTTATGTTCTAATCAATGTTTATACTTTAATATTTATCTGTTGAAACATCATCAGCAAACGTCTTGTTTGATATTATCACACCATAATAAACAGAATGAGAGATACTTATTAAATGCTCGACAGAAATCCAACAATGCATAAAGAATGTTTAATTCATGAATTTATTTGTGTTGATCCTAATTTTAAAATTATGTCCAAATTTTTGAGTGTGGGATAAACCGGAGCATCCCGGAGAAAAACCCACGCAGACACTTTGAGAACATATGAAGTCCTGACTGACAGATCCCTTTCAGCTTCTGTCAGTCAGGGTTTCACATGTCCCCCTGAGTCTGCTTGTGTGTTACAGTCTGTGTGATTGTTTGGGACTAGGGGGGGGGGGGGATTGTCATTACTGGTCCAGCTTCTTCAGATGCTTTAATTCACGCCACCAGTCTGGAGTCATGAACTTCTTGAACTTCCTCCATGGAGAGATCTCCTCCGTGCTGCTAACCAGGCGGTTGTCCTCTGGAAGGGAGTCCCAGTGTGATTGCTGCCTGGTTTCCTCAGCTCTTTCTGCAGGAGGTCAGCCCTCACTATTTGCCACTCCACTTCCGTCAGGAGCTCCTCCACCCCTTCTGCACAGCATAACTTTCTTCCTCCTGTGCTGACAGTTTTGAGGCCAGCTCTAGACAGCTGCTTGTCCTGTCTTGCAGCTGGATCTCTAAACTTTCCAGCTGCTCTTCAATCAGCATGGCCTCTGTCTTCATGGCCCCTCCCTGCTCCAGGGAGTCATTCTCTTCAGTCAGCCTCTCAATGAGCATCCAGTCCTTGTTGGTGCTCTCAAAATGCTGATTCCTGACCTCCTCCAGCTCTTTCTGGAGGTCGTCAGCCACCAACACTTTGACATCCATTTCTTGTTGGAGGTCCTCCACCTTCTTCTGCAGAGTCAGGTTAGCATCCTCCTGCAACATAAGTTTGTTGGACAGATCAAGACAGCTGTTGGTTTTGTCTTGCAGCTGGATCTTCAAAGACTCAGCTGCTTTTGAGTTTGCATGTCCAGGCTGAAGATCTCTTCTTCTTCAAAGACTCCAGCTGCTTTGAGTTTTGCATGTCCAGGCTGAAGATCTTTCCTCTAAGGTCTTCATCGCTGCTCCAGGAGTCATTCTCTTCAGTCAGCCTCTCAATGAGCATCCAGTCCTTGTGTGCTCTCAAAATGCTGATTCCTGACCTCCTCCAGCTCTTTCTGAGGTCGTCAGCCACCAACACTTTGACATCCATTCTTGTCGGAGGTCCTCCACCTTCTTCTGCAGAGTCAGGTTAGCATCCTCCTGCAACACAAGTTTGTTGGATAGATCAAGACAGCTGTTGGTTTTGTCTTGCAGCTGGATCTTCAAAGACTCCAGCTGCTTTGAGTTTAGCATGTCCAGGCTGAAGATCTCTTCCTCTAAGTCTTCATCGCCTGCTCCAGAGTCTTGTTCTCTGTAGTCAGGCTCTCAACTCTTTGTTTTCTTGTTGCTTGTTCTCAAAAGCTCATTCCTGACTTCCTCCAGCTCTTTCTGAGGCCGTCAGCCCTTAACGTTTGGCGCTCCACTTCCTTTCGGAGCACCTCCATCTCCTTCTGCTCCTTCTCCTCAGCACCGTTCTTCGATGAATCTTTACTACTCTGGATCTGTAGTTCACCATGACTGTTCTTAGTAAAATCAGTGTCTTTAACAATGTGTATCTCAGACTGGTTCTGTGAGCTGTGGTTGCGTCAGACTGTTCAGTGAGCTGTGGTGCCTCAGACTGGTTCAGTGAGCTGTGTTGTCTCAGACAGATTCAAAATGTCTTTGATGTCCAGATTCTGGAATCCTTTGATTCTGGTAATATTTGAACATTCTATTGACACTGCATCATTCAAACCACTTCCTGTTCTCAAAATGGCCACCCTAGAATGTTTTCAACATAACCCTACACTGATATACAGTATTAAAAGACTAACTCGTTTCGATTAATCCTGCCAATAGCGCAGTAGAAGCCAAACTACATGATGTAGCGCACATTATTATTTATTTTTTAAAACAAACATGATTGACTGAAAGATTGCGTGATAATTTGGGATGTTTGTGCACACCAGGAAGTCAGACTAGGTGACTAGAGTAACGTATTATGCAAGTCACCCTAAAAGAAGTTAAAATACAGCAGACTGCATGTAAACAGAAGAGAATCTAGGTAGCTTCCCAGAGGAACACCAAAAAGTAACTTGTATTTTCCTGATAAAGATTAGTCTATAGCCTCCTGACAAAACAACTTTCTTTTTGTAAGATAAGAACAATTTAAAACACTTAGAGGTATTAAACAGTAAATCCAAATCGGCCCCGCTCTGCTTAAGGAAACCACCTAAACTAAACTTCATCTCATCACTTCATACATTTATCACTGAGTCATTTATTAAGTGACAGATTCAATTCATTTACTGCCGCTGCACATGATGTGCTGTTAAACATATGTTACCCTAGGAGATGGACTGATGCCGAGAAGACACATCGAGGCCCATAAAACAGCACATGATTTAAACATCTTCAATGTGATTAGTTATGTTCTAATCAATGTTTATACTTTAATATTTATCTGTTGAAACATCATCAGCAAACGTCTTGTTTGATATTATCACACCATAATAAACAGAATGAGAATACTTATTAAATGCTCGACAGAAATCCAACAATGCATAAAGAATGTTTAATTCATGAATTTATTGTGTTGATCCTAATTTTAAAATTATGTCCAAATTTTGAGTGTGGATAAAACCGGAGCATCCCGGAGAAAAACCCACGCAGACACTTTGAGAACATATGAAGTCCTGACTGACAGATCCCTTTCAGCTTCTGTCATCAGGGTTTCACATGTCCCCCTGAGTCTGCTTGTGTGTTACAGTCTGTGTGATTGTTTGGACTAGGGGGGGGATTGTCATTACTGTCCAGCTTCTTCAGATGCTTTAATTCACGCCACCGGTCTGGAGTCATAACTTCTTGAACTTCCTCCATGGAGAATCTCCTCCGTGCTGCTAACCAGCGGTTGTCCTCTGGAAGGAGTCCCAGTTGATTGCTGCCTGGTTTCCTCCAGCTCTTTCTGCAGGAGGTCAGCCCTCACTATTTGCCACTCTACTTCCGTCAGGAGCTCCTCCACCCCCTTCTGCACAGCATAACTTTCTTCCTCCTGTGCTGACAGTTTTGAGGCCAGCTCTAGACAGCTGCTTGTCCTGTCTTGCAGCTGGATCTCTAAACTTTCCAGCTGCTCTTCAATCAGCATGCCTCTGTCTTCATGGCCCCCATCCCCTGCTCCAGGAGTCATTCTCTTCAGTCAGCCTCTCAATGAGCATCCAGTCCTTGTTGGTGCTCTCAAAATGCTGATTCCTGACCTCCTCCAGCTCTTTCTGGAGGTCGTCAGCCACCAACACTTTGACATCCATTTCTTGTTGGAGTCCTCCACCTTCTTCTGCAGAGTCAGGTTAGCATCCTCCTGCAACATAAGTTTGTTGGACAGATCAAGACAGCTGTTGGTTTTGTCTGCAGCTGGATCTTCAAAGACTCCAGCTGCTTTGAGTTTAGCATGTCCAGGCTGAAGATCTCTTCCTCTAAGTCTTCATCGCCTGCTCCAGGGAGTCATTCTCTTCAGTCAGCCTCTCAATGAGCATCCAGTCCTTGTTGTGCTCTCAAAATGCTGATTCCTGACCTCCTCCAGCTCTTTCTGGAGGTCGTCAGCCACCAACACTTTGACATCCATTCTTGTCGGAGGTCCTCCACCTTCTTCTGCAGAGTCAGGTTAGCATCCTCCTGCAACACAAGTTTGTTGGATAGATCAAGACAGCTGTTGGTTTTGTCTTGCAGCTGGATCTTCAAAGACTCCAGCTGCTTTGAGTTTAGCATGTCCAGGCTGAAGATCTCTTCCTCTAAGTCTTCATCGCCTGCTCCAGAGTCTTGTTCTCTGCAGTCAGGCTCTCAACTCTTTGTTGTTCTTGTTGCTTGTTCTCAAAAGCTCATTCCTGACTTCCTCCAGCTCTTTCTGGAGGCCGTCAGCCCTTAACGTTTGGCGCTCCACTTCCTTTCGGAGCACCTCCATCTCCTTCTGCTCCTTCTCCTCAGCACCGTTCTTCGATGAATCTTTACTACTCTGGGATCTGTAGTTCACCATGACTGTTCTTAGTAAAATCAGTGTGTCTTTAACAATGTTGTATCTCAGACTGGTTCTGTGAGCTGTGGTTGTCTCAGACTGGTTCAGTGAGCTGTGTTGCTCAGACTGGTTCAGTGAGCTGTGGTTGCCTCAGACTGTTCAGTGAGCTGTGGTTGTCTCAGACAGATTCAAAATGTCTTTGATGTCCAGAGTTCTGGAATTCCTTTGATTCTGTAATATTTGAACATTCTATTGACACTGCATCATTCAAACCACTTCCTTTTCAAAATGGCCACCCTAGAATGTTTCAACATAACCCTACACTGATATACAGTATTAAAAGACTAACTCGTTTCGATTAATCCTGCCAATAGGCGGCAGTAGAAGCCAAACTACATGATGTAGCGCACATTATTATTTATTTTTTAAAACAAACATGATTGACTGAAAGATTGCTGATAATTTGGGATGTTTGTGCACACCAGGAAGTCAGACTAGTTGACTAGAGTAACGTATTATGCAAGTCACCCTAAAAGAAGTTAAAATACAGCAGACTGCATGTAAACAGAAGAGAATCTAGGTAGCTTCCCAGAGAACACCAAAAGTAACTTGTATTTTCCTGATAAAGATTAGTCTATAGCCTCCTGACAAAACAACTTTCTTTTTGTAAGATTAAGAACAATTTAAAACACTTAGAGTATTAAACAGTAAATCCAAATCGCCCCGCTCTGCTTAAGGAAACCACCTAAACTAAACTTCATCTCATCACTTCATACATTTATCACTGAGTCATTTATTAAGTGACAGATTCAATTCATTTACTGCCGCTGCACATGATGTGCTGTTAAACATTGATGTACCCTAGGAGATGGACTGATGCCGAGAAGACACATCGAGGGCCCATAAAACAGCACATGATTTAAACATCTTCAATGTGATTAGTTATGTTCTAATCAATGTTTATACTTTAATATTTATCTGTTGAAACATCATCAGCAAACGTCTTGTTTGATATTATCACACCATAATAAACAGAATGAGAGATACTTATTAAATGCTCGACAGAAATCCAACAATGCATAAAGAATGTTTAATTCATGAATTTATTTGTGTTGATCCTAATTTTAAAATTATGTCCAAATTTTTGAGTGTGGATAAAACCGGAGCATCCCGGAGAAAAACCCACGCAGACACTTTGAGAACATATGAAGTCCTGACTGACAGATCCCTTTCAGCTTCTGTCAGTCAGGTTTCACATGTCCCCCCTGAGTCTGCTGTGTTACAGTCTGTGTGATTGTTTGGGACTAGAGGGGGGGATTGTCATTACTGGTCCAGCTTCTTCAGATGCTTTAATTCACGCCACCGTCTGGAGTCATGAACTTCTTGAACTTCCTCCATGGAGAGATCTCCTCCGTGCTGCTAACCAGCGGTTTCCTCTGGAAGGGAGTCCCAGTGTGATTGCTGCCTGGTTTCCTCCAGCTCTTTCTGCAGGAGGTCAGCCCTCACTATTTGCCACTCCACTTCCGTCAGGAGCTCCTCCACCCCTTCTGCACAGCATAACTTTCTTCCTCCTGTGCTGACAGTTTTGAGGCCAGCTCTAGACAGCTGCTTGTCCTGTCTTGCAGCTGGATCTCTAAACTTTCCAGCTGCTCTTCAATCAGCATGCCTCTGTCTTCATGCCCCCATCCCCTGCTCCAGGAGTCATTCTCTTCAGTCAGCCTCTCAATGAGCATCCAGTCCTTGTTGGTGCTCTCAAAATGCTGATTCCTGACCTCCTCCAGCTCTTTCTGGAGGTCGTCAGCCACCAACACTTTGACATCCATTTCTTGTCGGAGGTCCTCCACCTTCTTCTGCAGAGTCAGGTTAGCATCCTCCTGCAACATAAGTTTGTTGGACAGATCAAGACAGCTGTTGGTTTTGTCTTGCAGCTGGATCTTCAAAGACTCCAGCTGCTTTGAGTTTAGCATGTCCAGGCTGAAGATCTCTTCCTCTAAGGTCTTCATCGCCTGCTCCAGAGTCTTGTTCTCTGCAGTCAGGCTCTCAACTCTTGTTCTTGTTGCTTGTTCTCAAAAGCTCATTCCTGACTTCCTCCAGCTCTTTCTGGAGGCCGTCAGCCCTTAACGTTTGGCGCTCCACTTCCTTTCGGAGCACCTCCATCTCCTTCTGCTCCTTCTCCTCAGCACCGTTCTTCGATGAATCTTTACTACTCTGGATCTGTAGTTCACCATGACTGTTCTTAGTAAAATCAGTGTTCTTTAACAATGTTGTATCTCAGACTGGTTCTGTGAGCTGTGGTGTCTCAGACTGGTTCAGTGAGCTGGTTGCGTCAGACTGTTCAGTGAGCTTGGTTGCCTCAGACTGGTTCAGTGAGCTGGTTGTCTCAGACAGATTCAAAATGTCTTTGATGGTCCAGAGTTCTAGAATTCCTTTGATTCTGGTAATATTTAACATTCTATTGACACTGCATCATTCAAACCACTTCCTGTTCTCAAAATGGCCACCCTAGAATGTTTTCAACATAACCCTACACTGATATACAGTATTAAAAGACTAACTCGTTTCGATTAATCCTGCCAATAGGCGGCAGTAAAGCCAAACTACATGATGTAGCGCACATTATTATTTATTTTTAAAACAAACATGATTGACTGAAAGATTGCGTGATAATTTGGATGTTTGTGCACACCAGGAAGTCAGACTAGGTGGACTAGAGTAACGTATTATGCAAGTCACCCAAAAAGAAGTTAAAATACAGCAGACTGCATGTAAACAGAAGCAATCTAGGTAGCTTCCCAGAGGAACACCAAAAGTAACTTGTATTTTCCTGATAAAGATTAGTCTATAGCCTCCTGACAAAACAACTTTCTTTTTGTAAGATTAAGAACAATTTAAAACACTTAGAGGTATTAAACAGTAAATCCAAATCGGCCCCGCTCTGCTTAAGGAAACCACCTAAACTAAACTTCATCTCATCACTTCATACATTTATCACTGAGTCATTTTATTAAGTGACAGATTCAATTCATTTACTGCCGCTGCACATGATGTGCTGTTAAACATTGATGTACCCTAGGAGATGGACTGATGCCGAGAAGACACATCGAGGCCCATAAAACAGCACATGATTTAAACATCTTCAATGTGATTAGTTTGTTCTAATCAATGTTATACTTTAATATTTATCTGTTGAAACATCATCAGCAAACGTCTTGTTTGATATTATCACACCATAATAAACAGAATGAGAGATACTTATTAAATGCTCGACAGAAATCCAACAATGCATAAAGAATGTTTAATTCATGAATTTATTTGTGTTGATCCTAATTTTAAAATTATGTCCAAATTTTGAGTGTGGATAAAACCGGAGCATCCCGGAGAAAAACCCACGCAGACACTTGAGAACATATGAAGTCCTGACTGACAGATCCCTTTCAGCTTCTGTCAGTCAGGGTTTCACATGTCCCCCCTGAGTCTGCTGTGTGTTACAGTCTGTGTGATTGTTGGGACTGGGGGGGGGATTGTCATTACTGGTCCAGCTTCTTCAGATGCTTTAATTCACGCCACCGGTCTGGAGTCATGAACTTCTTGAACTTCCTCCATGGAGAGATCTCCTCCGTGCTGCTAACCAGGCGGTTGTCCTCTGGAAGGAGTCCCAGTGTGATTGCTGCCTGGTTTCCTCCAGCTCTTTCTGCAGGAGGTCAGCCCTCACTATTTGCCACTCCACTTCCGTCAGGAGCTCCTCCACCCCCTTCTGCACAGCATAACTTTCTTCCTCCTGTGCTGACAGTTTTGAGGCCAGCTCTAGACAGCTGCTTGTCCTGTCTTGCAGCTGGATCTCTAAACTTTCCAGCTGCTCTTCAATCAGCATGGCCTCTGTCTTCATGGCCCCCATCCCCTGCTCCAGGGAGTCATTCTCTTCAGTCAGCCTCTCAATGAGCATCCAGTCCTTGTTGTGCTCTCAAAATGCTGATTCCTGACCTCCTCCAGCTCTTTCTGGAGGTCGTCAGCCACCAACACTTTGACATCCATTTCTTGTTGGAGGTCCTCCACCTTCTTCTGCAGAGTCAGGTTAGCATCCTCCTGCAACATAAGTTTGTTGGACAGATCAAGACAGCTGTTGGTTTGTCTTGCAGCTGGATCTTCAAAGACTCCAGCTGCTTTGAGTTTAGCATGTCCAG